AAAGTCCAAGTTTGTTTGAGTGAGGAAATATGGAACTCAGGCACCCAAATCAATTATTCAATTCAATCAAATTACCACAGAAATACAAAGAAGGTATTGTGTCTAATAGTCTTGAGGAAAGGGCATATCTGTCCTCAAACCATAATTGACTTGCACAATTCAGCCATGTCTTCATGTTTAACTAAGTAATAAATTCATGGTATCAATGAACTGACGGCACTTCTCATGACAAAAGAACATTTTCCCCTGTAATTCATCCATACAGGCTCTATTTTAATAATGCACAATTAAACTGCATTCAGCTTCATCACATCCATCTGATTTCATTAGATTTATTCAGCATGGAGACAAAACAATGCAATAATACACACACAGTTCCCAGCATCCAAGGGCAGGAAATCAGATATTTGGCAGGTAAAATGAATGATACTTTTCTCCAAAGGCTATACTGAGGACAATGATGTCTTTAGGAGGTCATCCTCCAGTCAACATTAGTTTGAATGGTTCATAAAAACCAAATGTTATGACTAGATTTCAGGAACTATTTTAGGGCTACCACATTTAGGCCACAGAAATTTACGTACAGAAATGGCAACAGGGGAATATAAAAAATGATGCCATCTAGTGATAGCGCAGACTTTTGTAATTCAGACATGATATCCTGAGCTGTCCTGTAAGAAAGGGAAAATTATTTGTGCATATTGCTCATTTATTAACACTACTTACATAAAGCATGACGCCCTTTATATGGGAATGTCCAATATTCTGACCAATAGCAGTATTACAGGATCTTCCACATCACCCACTATTTGAGATTAATTTAATAGGGGATGTTTGGAGTTCTACCTGCAGGCAAAACTCCATCACTAAGCCATCTGTTTTGAGCAAGGTCAATTCTAGTGAAAGACCAAATGTCCTCAGTAATAGGGAAGAAGTAAGGAAAATATTTAAATACTGCGTACTCTTTATTGAATACACCAATTTAATTTTCAATTACAAGATCATTCAAAGTTTAGGTCTCATTGTACCCCAACTTAATCTTAAGAAGAGTCACCTCTTGTGAGATAGATGGCCATGTAAATACAATAAATGAAATAAATATGACAAAACCTAGAATTCTGTCTCTTTCCATTCAAACCCTGATATTTTCTCCTGCCTGTGCATTAGAAGTAGTGTTGCATACCTTGTTTCTATCTTCTTAGAAGATTATTTGCTATTCCCAAGCTAAATTATTTCCACAGCATTCATAGCACAAACCGAGGGCATCAGGAACAATAGGGGGAAATAGATTGTATAGAATCTTAAATTTGGGGATGTTGTCAACTATACTTGTGAGGCTGCTAGGAACCATGGTACTATAATTAAATCTGCTGTGGCCTCAGATATTGTTGAATATAGCCAGAAAAATACTATTATTGATCTCTTCGACTAGAACAGGGAAACACAAAGGCTAATAATAATAATAACAAAATCAAACTTAAATAATGGTTCGATTATGAAACAGGCCTGAACCGGAAAGGAAATCTGTTTTTAATTATGAGTTTGGTTGCTCTTTTTTACTGTTAATATACACCTTATGAGTAAATGAGGGCCAAGATTTTTATAGTAATAAATAAAAGCATTAGAATAGAAAATGCAGGAAAAAAACAGGATAAAAAAAAGACAAGAAAAACTAAGAATATAATAAAGAAAAAGAAATTACTTTCCCATTCATCACAAGTATAAACAATTTTAGTAAATTATCACTTTCATTTAAAATACAACAAATTATCTCTTCTTTCCATAAATCAGCTCTTTATCTATAAATAAATCTTTAAAGTCTTGACATTCAGACCTGGTCAGCAAAAGTTCATTACCAGGAAAAATAATGTATCTATTTTAACCATGATCAAATAAATCAACTTCCAATTACTTGTAACTTAATCCCTTCAAATATCCTTGAACTTTTTTTTCTTTGTTGCTTCTTACAAAATTCTTCAAACTTTAACAAGTCTCTTTTGTAAATTCAGTATAGGAAAATTATCCAGATCATTCCTTTGGTATCTTATTATTAATATAACAACTAGTTTCATTTGTATATCCAGTGTAGCATTCTTTTACCATATCATTCTTGTAGCCTGTTCTTTTTAAATCTATTTTCAGATCAGTCTGTCTTATCTGGCAAACTTCCATAACATTTGTAAACACAATCTACCTATAGAGACCGCCATTCACAAAATTAACTTTTGAGTCTATTGTTTGCATCCAATGTTAAAGCATTTCATTCCATAAAGCATTTCAATCAATAAACCAGAATAGAGCTGGAAGGGATCTTGGAGGTCTATTAGTCCAACCCCTGCTTAAGTAAGAGACTCTACCATTTCTGTGATGACCCATAGTCTCTCAAAATAACCCAAAACCCAAAACATATATTAAAGTCCGGTAAGGCCTTCAACTTAACTTCACTGTTTTATTAGGCACAGTTTAAAGTCACAAAAGTAAATAATGAGGCAAACAGAAAACCAAAACAAACCACATTGATGAGAATTCTGAAGCAAGCCAAGATAATTAATCATAAAGTCCAGGAAAATAACCGAGAAAAGTCCATGGGAAGAACGCCAGCAAAGATAAACCTCTTTCAAGGTGAACACTAAATTGACTCCTGCAAATTCTAACTGTGCAGTTGCAAACCTATATACATAGCTCCCACCTGCAAGCCATGAGGAGGATCATGGTAATCTCCTCTTGAGTAGACCTCACTTTTTGCTGATCCGCTCCTCCCTGCATGACCTAGGATGGATAGGGGATGGGCCTGGATCCTCCTCCGACTGCTCAGCCGGCCTCTGCCCTTCCCCAGCCTCCTCCACCACCTCTGGAGCCACACTCCCACTCCCTGTTGGCTGTTCCTCCTCTTCCTCAGAGTCTCCACCAGGGGCATGACACTATCCTCCCCCACAGGACCCCCTCCCCCGGGACCAGGTGGACGAGGATGTTGAGGAAACTGAGCGTGAAAGTCCTGGACCAAACAAGGAGCATGAACTTCAGTAGCATCGACCCAGGTGAAGTCCTCTGGTCCATAACATTTCCATGCCACCAAATACTGAAATCGGCCCCACAACTGGCGTGAAGCTTGGATGCTATCCACTTCGTACTCCTCCTCACCCAGAGGGGCTACTGGGGCCAGCAGTGATGGAGCCGGTCTATGCGGACTGTCAGCTGAGGCAGGAACTAACAGGGAATGATGAAAAACAGGATGGATACGCATGGTCCATGGCAGGGAGAGATGATAAGCCACAGGATTGATCACTGCCTCGACTGGAAAAGGTCCCAAGTAATGATGATCGGGCTTTTTCGATGGTTGCATCGTTGGTAAATATTGAGTAGAGCCAAACCCAATCGCCAACCGCTAAAGGTGGAACATCGCGACGATGTCGGTCTGCAAACCATTTATAGTCTTCATTGGCTCTCTCTAGTTGATCGCGGACCATGTGGTGCACGGCTTTTAACTCCTGCAAAAATGTATCCACTGCCGGAACTGGGGAATCAGACAGGGCTAAAGGGAAAAGTAGTGGATGAAACCCATAGTGAGCAAAGAAAGGGGACACATGGGTGGATGCATGTTGAGCATTGTTATAAGCAAATTCTGCCACTTCCACCCAATTGTCTTGTTGAGTATTGCTGAAACAGCAGAGGTCCTGCTCCAAAATAGCATTCATTCTCTCTGTCCCCCCATCAGTTTCGGGGTGATGAGCAGACGACAGACACGCCTGAACCTGCAGTTTCGTGAGTAGGGTCTGCCAGAAGCGTGCCATAAATTGTACCCCCCGATCTGATACCATGTGGTCTGGTAACCCATGCAACCAGAAAACATGGGAGATAAACAATTGAGCCGTTATCTTGGCCGATGGAAGACCTGCACACGGAATAAAGTGGACCATTTTAGTCAACATATCCATCACCACCAAAATGGTTGTGGCACCATTCGATGGTGGTAACTCAACAATGAAATCCAATTAAACTGCCCCCCATGGTCGTTCTGGTGCATGCAAGTGCTGCAAGAGACCAGGGGGCGCACCAGGAGCATACTTGGCTTGGCGACAGATCCCACAGGATGCCACATATCCTGACACATCATGTTTAAGTCTCGGCCACCAAAATGTCCTAGAGATGAGGTGCAGTGTTTTGAACACCCCAAAGTGTCCTGTTGCCGGACTATCATGACATTGACGTAGGATAAGACATAAGACATAAGACATAAGAATTTATTTGTCATTACACTCGCAAGCGGGTGCAACGAAATGAGGTGCTCTTCCACAAAGTAAAAACTGGACAAACACCACTAAAAAGAAAAAAATTAAACTAAACACAACCAACCATACAATCATCTCTATGCAATTTAAAAATGTAAATACCCCATTACTCTCAGCCATTTAATTCCACAAAAATCTTATGACCCTGCATTCAAACTCAAAACTGCACTTGGATAAAAACTGTTCTTAAATCTGGTCGTCCTTGTTCTTAATACCCTAAATCTCCTTCTCGATGGTAATAGTTCAAAGAGCTGATGTCCCGGATGAGAGGAGTCATTCAATATATTAAGTATCTTCCTCTTACGTCTATTCCTATACAGTTCTTCCAAAGAGGGGAGTGAGCAGCCAATGATGTTTTGGGCCGTCTTGATCACCCTCTGAATTGCCTTTTTCTCTGCCACTGTGCAGCTCGAGAACCATACACAGAGACAGTAGGATAATATACTCTCAATTGAACTCCGATAGAAGGTAGTCAGTAGACTCTCAGCCAGTTGTTGTTTCCTAAGAATCCTTAGTAAATACAACCGTTGTTGTGCCTTCTTAATTAAAGCAGCGGCCACGAAGAAGACCTCCAGGCACATAAATGCGATCACGGAACCGCAACAGGTCCCCAATATACACCCAAGGAGTCTCTTGTCTCCCATTTTCATCCAATTCTTGATGTCTCGCTGCCACAAATGGGTCCTGCCGCTGCGCTTCCTGAATCCTCACTCGAAGGTCCACAGGTTCCTTGGTGGCCGCAAACCGCTCCAACGGAATCACCGTCTGGGGCAAGATTTTATCCTCCCTTCGGGTATACTCAGGCTTCCGAGAGAGGGCATCGGTGCATTGATTCCCTCCACTCAGAACATAGGTCATCCGGAAATCGAATCAAGCAAAGAATAAGGACCATCTCACCTGATGCTGGTTCAATGTCTGAGCTGTACGTAGGTGTTCCAAATTGCGATGATCCATCCGAACCTTGATTTGGTGATGAGCCCCCTCCAGGTGGTGCCATGTCTCAAAAGTGACCTTAACCGCCAATAGCTCCTTGTCCCAAATCGTATAGTTGCGCTCTGGAGCTGACAACTTACAGGAATAATAAGTGCACGGGAACAAGGTGCCTGCGGGAGCATAGGCCTGGAGGAGCACCGCACCAACAGCCACGTCAGAAGCATCTGTTTCCACCACAAATGCCTGGCCTGGATCAGGGTGTTTGAGGATAGGCTCAGAAGCAAAGGCGACTTTCAACACCTCGAAAGCTGCCTGCTCCTCAGCACCCCAATGGAACTTCTCCACCTTCTTGAGCAGATTACAAAGGGGAGCAGTCAAGGCAGCAAAGCAGGGAATAAATGTGCAGTAGTAGTTCACAAACCCCAACAGTCGTTGCACATCCTTAACCCTCTGTGGAGGTCCCCACTCCTGCAACGATTGAATTTTTTCTGGGTCCATTTCCACCCCAGCAGGTGAAATACGATGTCCGAAGAAGTCAATCATGGTTTGTGCAAACTGACACTTCTCACGTTTAGCAAACAGGTGGTTATCATGCAAACGTTGCAACATCAGCCGCACATGCTGCCAATGTTCCTGCAGGGAGTCTGAGTAAATCAAAATGTCATCTAAATAAATGACCATGAATTGATCCAACAAATCACAGAAAACATTGTGCATGAAATGCATGAACACAGCTGGGGCATTGGTTAATCCAAAAGGCATCACGGTATACTCAAAATGCCCGTACCTCATCCGGAAAGCTGTTTTTCACTCGTCCCCTGCACGAATGCGAACCAGATTGTAGGCCCCATGCAAGTCCAACTTCGTAAAGATCTTAGCTTGACGAAGCCGCTCAATCAGTTCAGGGATGAGGGGAAGCGGGTACCGATTCCTCACTGTGATTGCATTCAACTTGCGGTAATCACAACACAAACGTAGCTCCCCTGATTTCTTTTTCACAAAAAGCACCGGTGCAGCCAATGGGGAGGTAGAAGGCTGGACAAACCCTTTCCGGAGGTTCTTGTCAATAAAATCCCGCAACGCGGCCAACTCTGGTTCCAACAGGGAATACATCCGACCCACCGGCAATTTTGCATCAGGCAACAAGTCAATTGGACAGTCATATGCCCGATGCGGAGGCAACTGATCTGCCTCCTTCTCCCCAAACACATCAGCAAAGTCCACCAACTCTGCAGGTAGATCCAGGTCCACGGGCGTAGCCACACTCCCTGTACAGGAGCGCAAGCAATGGATGGCACACTTCCTATCAAGGAACTGCACAGCTCCAGACAACCAGACAATCTGTGGATCATGGGCCTGTAACCACTCCAAACCCAGCACCACTGGAAAATGAGGCACTGCGGCAACGTAAAACACGGTTTCCTCCACATGCTGCCCAATACGCATGCAAAGGGGTTTGGTTGCAGCAACCACAGGTGGAAGGGGGGTGACCATCAATCATCTCCACTATTACTGGTGGGGATACCTGTTGCTGAGGAATGAACCACTGCTTGACAAAATGAGCATCCATGAAATTGGCTGTGGCCCCTGGGTCGACCAAAGCTGGGATCTCCACCGCTCCCACACCAGGCACGAACACACTGGCTAGCAGCACAAGATGCTTCACCAATAGCGACTGTGGTGATGTTGAAGATGTCAAAGGTGGAGAGGGTGGCAAGGTTGGTGAAGATGGCGGGCCTATGGACTTTACACCCCGACCTGCAGACCCCTGTAGGCCGAGTGATGTTCATTTCCCGCCACCACAGGTATCACTGCTGTGGATGTCTTAAAAGGACACTTGGCCGCAAAATGGCCTCGATTGCCACAATAGAGGCATAAACCATCACAACAACGTCTATTCTTTTCTACTTGAGTCAGGCAAGGGCAGCCAGCCCCCAACTGCATGGGTTCCTCCAAAGGCACTTCCACCAAGGGTGCCATCTTGCTGGAAACAGATACAGTCTGTCTGTCGTCGCACCTGTCGCTGCTGAAGTCTAGCATAGATACAAAGACACAAATGCATGAGCTCCTGAAGGGTGTGAGGGCATTCAGTGCATGCCAACTCATCCAGGAGATCCGACGACAAACCCTCCTGGAACTGGTCTAATAGTGCTGCCTCATTCCATTGTACATCCTGAGCAGCCACCCGAAAACTAGCAATATAATCCATGAGTGAGCCATGCCCCTGCTTCAACTCTCTCAAACGTCTGTTTGCTATTTGGCTTCGAACAGGGTCCTCAAACATGGCCTGAAACTGACGGCAAAACTCGGTGTAATTGTCCAACACCTGGTTGGGCTGGGTCAGCAGAGGCATCACCCAATGTGCTGCAGAGCCTGACAACGAACTAATCAAAAACCTCACCTTATCCTGGTCAGTGGGAAAGTCCTCAGGCCGAAGGCTCTTGTAAAGCTGGCACTGCCCAAAAAATGCTGGAAATTGGGCCAGCGAACCATCAAATTTATCTGGCACTGCCACTGGGCATTTTCGGCGTGGCCAGGCAGCTTGCATTTGTGCCACCTGTGCAGTCAAAAGAGCCACTTGCTGGGTTAACTGGGCAATCTCTGCTCTGAGCTGATCCATGGTCACCCCACAAAAAGCAAAAATAAGTTGAAGGCTGAGGCAGGAGTCAAAATGTGATTACCCATAGTCTCTCAAAATAACCCAAAACCCAAAACATATATTAAAGTCCGGTAAGGCCTTCAACTTAACTTCACTGTTTTATTAGGCACAGTTTAAAGTCACAAAAGTAAATAATGAGGCAAACAGAAAACCAAAACAAACCACATTGATGAGAATTCTGAAGCAAGCCAAGATAACTAATCATAAACTCCAGGAAAATAACCGAGAAAAGTCCATGGGAAGAACGCCAGCAAAGATAAACCTCTTTCAAGGTGAACACTAAATTGACTCCTGCAAATTCTAACTGCGCAATTGCAAACCTATATACATAGCTCCCACCTGCAAGCCACGAGGTTGATCATGGTAATCTCCTCTTGAGTAGACCTCACTTTTCGCTGATCCGCTCCTCCCAGCCTCCTCCACCACCTCTGGAACCACACTCCCACTCCCTGTTGGCTGTTCCTCCTCTTCCTCAGAGACAGTCTCTACCAGGGGCATGACAAGTTCAGACAAGTGATGGTTGAGTCTCTTCTTAAAAACCTCCAGTGATGAAGCACCCATAACTTCTGAAGGCAAGCTGTTCTACTGGTTAATTTTCCTGTTAGGAAGTTTCTCAATTCCAGGTTGCTCCTCTCCTTGATTAGTTTCATCCATTGTTTCTTTTCCTGCCCTTTGGTACTTTGGAAAATAGACTCCCTCCTCTTTGTGGCAGGCTCTCAAATACTGGAATATTACTATCATGTCACCTCTACTCCTTCTTTTCTCTAGCTAAACCCAAACCCTGCAACCCTTCATGTTTTAGTCTCCAGGCCTTTAATCATCTTTTGTTACTCTTATTTGCACTTTTTCCAAAGTTTCAACATTTTTGTAATGTGGTGACCAAAACTGGATGCAGTATTCCAAGTATGGCCTTACTAAGGCTTTACAAAGTGATACTAAAACTTAATGTGATTTTGATTTTATGCCTGTTTATACAACCAAGGATGGTATTAGCTTTCCTGGTTGCTGCCATGCACTGCTGGCTCATATTTAAGTGATCATCTACTAGACTCCAAGCTCTCTCTCATGGTAACTGTTTTGGAACCAGGTTTTGCCTAATTGAAGTATAAAAATGTGCTTTTCTCCACATTAAAATTTTTGTTAGATAGGGGCCATTGTTCAAGTCAATATTTTTTTGGGATCCTAGCTTGTCTTCTGGGTATTGGCTATTCCTGCCAACTTAATGTCATCTGCAAATTTGATGAGATCCCCTTCTATTCCCTCATCTAACTCATTCATGAAGATATTGAGTATTGGGCCTAAGATGGAACTTTGTAGTACCTCACTGCTTACTTCCCTCCGTGTAGATGTAGATCCATTAAGGACTACTCATTGAGTATGGTTTGTCAGCCACTTACAAATCCATGGGGTGATGATATCTATCCCACATTTTTCTAGCTTATCAAGAAGTAGGTTGTGGTCTACTTTGTTGAATGCGTTACTGAAATTTAAGTATACTATGTCCACAGCATTTCACTGATCTATTAATTTAATCACTTTGTCAAAGAATTTAAGTCAAATTTAAGTGTTCTTTTCTTATGGTCTTTAAGAATGTTCTGTAATCTCCTCTAGTCTCCAACCTTCAAAATTCCACTGATTTTTCTTTAAAAAAAAATCCAAAACAGCATTTTCAAACAGGAAGAATTTTTATACTTAATTTCAAAATCTTATTTCAAATCCACCTGGACCCTTAAGCTGCCTGTAACTTTCCAAAATCAATGTTATAGTTGTACATTCACTATTCAGAAAAACAAAACTGGATTATATTAAGCCCTTCCTTAAATTTATGTTTAAAATTTTTCAATAAAGATTGAAGCAAACTCACCTGGTCTTTTGAGACATGCCAATCCAAAGGTTCCATATATGTAGTCCTTGACTTATGGCCACAATTAAGCCCAAAATTTCTGTTGCTAAGCAAGACAGTTAAATGAATTTTGCCTCATTTTATGGCCTTTCTTGCCCCATTTGTTAAGTGAATCAATGCAATTATTACATTAGTGACATGGTTGTTAAGTGAACCTGGTTTCCCCATTGACTATGTCATGTCACAAAAAGTGATCACATGATCCCAGGACATTATAACTGTCATAAATATGAGTCAGCTGCCAAACTTCTGAATTTTGATCATGACCATTGGAGATGCAGCAATGGTTATAAAGTGTGAAAAACAGTCCTAAGTCACTTTTTCAGTGCTGTTGTAACTTCAAATGGTCACTAAATGAACAACTGTAAGTCAAGAAAAAAGCATTCATAAAACTGATTAGAAAAAAATATTATGAAACCCTTTGTCCATAATGCGCCAACTGTGGTTTGAGCGAAGATGACATTCTCTCATCTCTTCTGCAGTATCCTCATGAGGAGCAACTGTCTGGAGCAATTGTGGGTGATCTCAAGTCGTCTTCTTTTCCGGAGAATTATAGAGTTGCTCTACTTATTGACTCGTCATTCGGCCTAGTAGTTAGTTCTGCATTCAGTGGAGCAATCTTCACTATTTCTTCCCCAGAAGTCCAGCAAATGTGGGCCAAGATTTGGAATTTGTGCTTCAGCAACATCCAAGAGGCTTATAATTTAGATTACAACTTTATTAGTTCATAACTAGCAAATATTACCAGTTCCCTTGCAGAAATACTCAAGCTCACATTGATTCCAGGTAACGTTTCTTTTATTTAAATAATGATAATCATTCATTCTTTCATTCATTCATACCTATGTACTAGTTCCACTAGCTTCCATATATTTTCATGGATTTCTATTTTTAAAAAGTCAATGGACCTCAACAGTTTTACAAAGTAGAATATAAGCTTTTACTGCCCTCTTGTGTCGAAGCCATCAAGCACAACACAATTTTAAAAAGGAATTGAATTCGGAATGGGAATCTTGAATTCTTGCTTTAGGTACCAAAGCTAATTGCCGCAACGAGTTTCCCTCAGCACAAAATTGCCTGAACATAAGTACCAATAAAGGAGAATAGGGTTGAAATGAGGGGTCCTTGGTGCTCTCTGAACTTGTTTTCTTGCAGACATTTCATCACCAGGTGACATCAACATTGCTAGCAGATGTTCTTCTTTGTTGGAACCACATATAGGTGTCAAACACTTCAGAAAAAGCACTGATGATGTTACTTAGTTGGGTAATGAAACATCTGCAAGAAAAGAAGCAAGCTCAGAGAGCACCAAGGACCCCTCACTTGTCCGTGTGGTTGCCAGGAATCAAGACTGATGATCAATCTTTATTATGGTCCCAGACCAGCATTAATCAAGACTGATTGAAGATACGCCTATATCAGCATTCCTTCATCTCCTTTCTCTCAGATTGTGCCTATTTAATTTAATTTATGCATCTTATATTTTAAGAATATTATCAACTGTTTCAAGTATTTTTTTATTATTTAGTGTGTGGCATACAATGTCAGGGAAATCTACACGTGCTAGACACACAATGCAGTCCTGACAGCCTAGAACACTAGTTAAATCTGTTCAGCGCATACGCTCCTCCTAACCATAGTGCACCATGGAGGGGGTGAACTAGCTTCACACCAGACTGTTTCAAGTACTTACTAAAAAAAGCATATAATGCAAATAAATGTGTAAGAGAAATTTTCCATAATTTTCAGCCATCATAGTTGAATACATCTATGTGACACCAAGTTAGAGAAATATATGCCTCCAAAAAACTTCTAAAAATGAGGATATAGTGATATTAAATATAATACATGTTACAAGCTTTGGAAATGAGGAATGATTTGGAGACAAAGACAGGTGGACACATTTTTAGCCTTCTCAGGATGCTAGAATTTTTAGATCATCTAACAATATTTGCTATAGAGATCTTTATGTACCCAATTTGAACAGATTGAATACATTATAAATTTAATAAATAAATAGACCTAGAGGAGGGAGGCATTAGCAACTGAGGCTAAATCAGTATTTGCTTTAAGCCCAACAAAAAGTTGTATCTAAACATATGTGTTTGTGGTAGTGATGCCAAAATCTGTAAAATGTTAGTCACAGCATCACAATTGAAGTCCCTGTGCAACATTGCTAGGTATGCAAAAAGGACTGTGTTTGACTGCAATACCTCACCCAATATCTTTGACAGGTTTTGACACACGTATCCTTGCAGACACCCATGTTAGGATGGATGATTTTAAACTGATTTATTGCAAATTTCTCATTATCAATGTAGTCCTTTTTGTCACAAATCCCACCACTGAATTGCAAATGAATTGTTTCTTTATATGCATTCTCTTTATATGCATTTTCTTTTCTGCGACTGCTCAGCAAAATATGAAAGAACATAAATGTTTTCTTATGATTTCCTTTTAAGTGTAACAAAATATAACAATTAAGTTTTTTGAAACATCATTCTAAATCAGAAACCCTTGGACCAGAGTGAAATGTTATATTGGCCTCACTGTTAAGAAGCCAACAACATATGCTTTTTGATTATTGGAACTTTGTGCACCATGAATGAAATTTGGGTTGTTTTTTAAACAAACAAGAGTTTAGAGCATTTGTCTGTACATTGTGCCTGGAGCCACAATACTGATTTTACTGGGTTGAATGAACAACAGGATTAGAAGAAGGAATGGAGAAATGATTAAGAGATTGGAAAAATCTGGCATCTGATAGAAACCTATCTCAATTGGAATTACCCCATTAGGTTTCATATTGTTTAAATTAAAAATATTAAACAATGGGCAGGATTCTGATGGATCCCAAGAAAGATTGGTCCAAGAGTAGCACATTGGGGATTTCAGGTTTAAAGCATTTAATTACTTTTAAAACATAAGTAAATATGTGCAATGAAATGTTTACAAAGCTGTGATCGTAAGTCAAAATTGTAACTTGATTCCTGAATATTTAAAAAAGATTGAAATAAATTAATTTGGTTTTATTTTCTGGGTCTTTTTATTTTAGGTTTTATTAATTAAATATACTGGCCGCCCAACTTATCACAGGGTAAATCTCGGCAGCTTACATTATTATTTTGAGATTTCATATCTCAAAGCACTACTCTTAAATTCTATTTCTTCATCTTCATCTAGGATTAATCTAGACAATTTAACAACTTGAAAAAGGAAATAATTTTGTCCTTGTAAAATTCAGAATTTGTGGATTATAGAGTTCTGCTTGATGCAGAAAGGCTATGCTTCATTTATCAAGTGACATCGAGCAAGTGCTAGCATGGGCATTTTATAGCCTATCGGCCACATCTGGCCCACAGGTAGTCCCAAACCTGCCTGTGTCAGTGGCATCAGATGGTGCATCAGCAGTATCAGGATAGCAGCAGTGAGAGGGGAGGTGGGCAGCATCAGGGGGCCGGGGTGGCAAGTCAGGGTGGTAGTCTTCCACAACAATCCCAGTTTCTCATGTGGTCCCTTGGGAAAATTAATTGCCCATCCTTGGGCAGGTAGGTGACTTTTAATGAAAAAGCAGTTTTAGTAGTGGACTGTCTCCAGAGCAGTTTATGTCCCTAACATCTTTTTTATTCCACTGCAACAAAAGAAAAGTCTTTTCAAATAAATCCTTTAAAAAAAACAAAAGAATTCGAAATATTAAGTGCCCTGAGCACCTGGTCCGTGATATTTGAATGGACAAAGGGCCCTCATTTTAATCTGTTCTTGGCTACAATCTGAAGCTCTTACATAAACATGTTGGTAGTGTCCTTGAGTCATTGTCTGATTCGTGGTCTGCTTTTCTTCCTTTCCTCAAACTTGCAGAAGATACTCATTTATTTCTGGTCCCTCATCTGCTCAATTTCACATGACCAAAGTATGTGAATTACTTCTTGCCCATAATCATCTCAACATAAATGTTGTTCAAGACTGACTAGTTCTTCAAGAAGTCCTTATTATTTTCAGTAATTAACTTCAAATTCATTATTTGAAGGTGTTATTTTTCCCTCTTTTTCAGTGTGCAGACTTTGCAATGTATGAAAACTGTTTTGGTCTATTTCCTCTATAGAAATAATCTTTTCCTTCATGATCTTGTTGAAATTTGTCACTGCCTTCCCCATTATCTCCTCCTCATGTCTATATTTATCTTTTTTGAGCCTAAAAGATGTTGCATTTGGCACTTTTTCCAATTTGCTATAAAACTGTTAAATGTGTTCCACCATTATGGATGTAATAGAGGCTTAGACTTGTACAACAAGTTAGTTAGACTTGTATAAATTTGTTATAATTTTGTCATCGGGTGGGGGGGCAGTTTAATAGCCTAGCACTTACATAATAATAGTCATTGTCATGTCTTGCTAGCATTCATTCAATATTTTGTTCCTTATTTTACCTATGTGAAAATATATGGTTGGGATGAACTCATTTTTTGTGGGGAATCTTTTTTACTCTAGTGTCCACCAATATGGCATCTGGAAACTTCTCCAAGAGCCCCTCTCCTAGAGAGATGGGTAGCGAAGAAATATGGAAAACAAACAAACAAACCTAATATCTGTGAAGGAAATGCAATGGAAAGAAATGCGTTATTGAAGCCCGACAATCAGGCTTGAGTAATTACAGCCATCTTGTTTCTTCACTCAGAGAAAGCCACTTAATGGAAGGCATCTCATATTAAATGTTTATACTTCTTCAAATAGAAGCCTGCCTGTAGAATAATATTTTTCCTCTCTAAAAAAAAAATGATCTGAAAACTGTCTCTAAGGTAATACTGCTGAAAACAACTGGAAGTCACTAACTCTAAAACATGTTTTTTTTTAAAATTGCTACTTTAAAATATTGTAGTTATAGAGAAACAGATTAGACCGAAAACCTACAATAAAAAAGGACTGTCAAAATCAAGAAGGTCTAAGGGATATGATTTGTTATAAATTTATTTCATCTTCAGAATTTCAGGTTGCACCTTTGCTCCAGCACTTTTTAAAATAGAACATTTCACCTACGGCAACATCTGCCAAGTTTACATTGAGTCCCAGTCAATGTTCTTAAAAGAGGCTTAGATTAATACCATTAAACCATGTTGTGTTCAGTGTTATATATGACTAGTTTACTTCTGAATCCCCCACCCGCCCTGATTTAGCAGTGTCAAGTTTTTACAAAGCTCTTCAATTCACACCATCAGTATGAAAGACCCATATATACAAACTGTGACCTGATAATCCCAATATAGTCAGATAGGATTGTTTTTTTCTCTCTCCCAGTTGTCTTGGGGCTGAAGCTGGGGGCGAAAACAATAAACCCACAAAGTCTACCAAATATTTATATGGCAGGAAGAAAAATATATAAGCTTAATAATTAATACCACATTTTGTCAATGTCAACCAGTTGTAAATTCATGTTTGCAAATATCACAAAAGACTCATGAACAACAACTCAGTTTTATACTGTAAGTAATGCTGGATCAATGGTTTAGGATTATCAATCACTGTTGTCATATGCTGTCTATAACAGTTCAAAAGCATCCTGGAGAAAAATCCTGAAAAACACATACCTTACGGTATATAATAATGCACCTGCATTAGCTAAATATATACTGTACACAAGTCTTATCAGCATTTTATCTACCAAAGATGTGAGATTCCACTTTTAAATACAAAGCAGATAGCCAGTAATGTATACTTATAATACAGCCCTCTTTTTTCCTTTGTTTTTAAACCTAGAACAATTTGGTCACAATGCACCTTTGATATAAAATCATTTTAAATTTTATTATTAATACTCAGGACATTAGGATTGCCAGAATTGGGCTATTCTTCCTTCAATAGGATCTTGAGAACTGCTTTTGATAACAAATAAAACTGGGATTGGCATCCAACTTTAGGATGCTGAAACATGTTATCCATAATCCATTCCAGCCCAAAGCAAACAAGATGTTACTCTGATGAGAAATACCATTAGGGTGCAAACTCACCACTAAATCTTTCCTCCCCAAAGATTACATAGTGTTTTTTTCTTCTTCTTATCTTTTCGGCTGGAGTGTGTGTGTAATATGGAAAGCAACAACTTCAAATAATTCAAACTCTTTACTCAACTCATCCCTCACCTGTTAACACATATTCGATCCATCATGACAGTTATAGACCCATTTCATTGGTGTATTTTTAAAAATTATTTCCAAATGGCCTAAAGAAATATATAGCAATACAATAATTTAGCCTCAGTATTACTAACACAAATCTGGTCATATGATCAACAGTGTACATTTAACACTGATCATATATTAAAGTCTGTGTTGTTGCCACTGCACACTTAGTTAAGGATTGGTGAGATGAGCTTTGATTCACTGTCAATTGATTCATTGATGAATTCAGAGCATACTTTCCAATCCTAATTATAACCACCTCATACTATTTATAAAGTTCACACTGAAGGAGCACCAAAGCGAGTCTGGTACTCAAAAGTTGCTTATACCAGGAAAAAAAACTTCTTAGTATTAAGGACTCCTATTTTTCATGGCCCTATTCTGTATAAACATTCAACTCAAGAAGATGTGCAAAAAGGAGAAAAAAAAGTCAAATTACATCATAGCTATCAGGAGAAAGATGTTACACAAACTCATAAGAAAATGACAATCTTTTTTCTCTTTTACTATAAATACATTTAACAGTTTAGCAGAAACACAAGCTAAATTTAAGATTGTTCACATTTGAAGTTGTATCACTCTCTGCTAATGATAAATAAGGAACAGGTCCTGACAATGGAATTTGGACATAGCAATTTTCATCAACAGATCTTTTGAAGACTGGTTTAAAGGGTTAAAACAATGATTTTTTTTTAAAGTTCTGAAAAGTCCATCTGTTGTCCAAACTTTGGATTGAAGTCCTTATTTTTTTTTTACTTAGAGACAGATATATACAGTGCTGTTGTAATAATGAAACAAATGTGAAATCTACTGTAAAGTTGCACAATACAGAAACTGTTGCTCCATCTTCTACTACATACATGTGTGACTCCACAGGTTAATTAATGCTGCTTTGTTTCTTTTTGTTAAGTTGGAATTATTCCATCACGTCTAAGACCTCTTTTCAGTTCTAAATCTTCCAGTTTCTTCCATAGTTCTTCACGTTCTTTCTCTTTTTTCTTCTCACTAGCAAAATTTTTAAAAAATGGCAACATTTTAACACCTGAATCACTACAAAAATAGATGTAAATTATGCACCAAGTATTCAATTTTCTCTAAAGAATTCTAAAACTGAATATAAAAAAGACAAACTTCATACAACAGCATGGATTTAAATAACAATACAAGGAAATGGTGCCTTGTAATATTCAATTATTTCAAGTACAAAAGTTGCATCATTGGCAACTTTATTCTCATAATGTATCTGAATTTCTTCACTGTTGAATGAAAATGTGTTCTAGATAACAAAAACTGCTAAAAGTTAATGAAATAAAGCTATATATCAAATATATGCTGTGGTATTGGGTTTTTTAACAGTGAGTTTGTTATTATTCCTGCATTTAAAGCCATTTAAAACTATATTGTGTTTAATGTATATCTTCACTGAGGTGTTACCAATGCACAAAGTCTAATGTAAACCTGCACCAGAGGGGTATATTTCATGACAAGAAATTACTGTGTCCTTACTTATAATGTTTCTGTTTCATTATTTACGAAAACATTTTCTGGTAGCATTAATTTTCATCCTGAACTGTAATTGAATGGTGATCATAATTTTTGAGACCAGTTTTTCACAAAATAACTATTTTAAATGTGTATATTTTTCCTCTTTACAAGCTCTGTAATATTTCATATTCCATTTTTCAAAGTCCAACTGATCTACTGTCTAAATCTGTATAATAGAATGAATCATTCAACCCTAGAATGAAAAATAGTACAAATCAAACACATGTAGAAACTATAGTATTGTACATTCATGAACAATCTGAAATCTTAGAATTTTTTTAAATAAAAACCAAAGCAAAAAAAGGTCTGCATCCTATAGCTCCTCAATGTTTTCTGTATTTATAATTACCACATTGCTGTTAATAAACAATATTGTGGTTAGATTTGTAATAATTGAAATTTTGGCTTTATTTTTTTAAAAAAATAAAAGAACAAAGAAAGCATACAAGTCATTCTTAAATTATAAAATAATTTCTTCAATTCTTATGTAAAAAAGACATAGTTTTAAAATATCTTTGATGGAAAATTGGTGAAAATTAATTTTGACAATCTGAGTTTAACTAATATAAGATTCCAGCCAAGATGCCCAAAATGTGATAGTTGTATGCTTGATATCCAAGGTTGTACAATTTCTCTATGAATATGAATCAAGTTTACAAAATGATTCATATTACATTAGTAGCATCTTTTTATATGATTTTTCCTAGAAATTCCTGACATTAAACATTCTGTCTAATTGAAAGAAAAAGTTAATAAGAAAGCATAACATAGAATCAATTAGTCTCTACCACAAGGTATAAAGTGCACATAATGTTAAAAGCATCTATTACCCCACCAATTACATTTCATATTTCTATTTTTTTAAAGCAGTGAGTTATGAGAGCCTGGTAATCGGATTAAACAACATCGTGGCCTCCAAAAATATGTGAGAGGCTATACTAACCTAACAAGGCTTGATGACATACAGTACCCTTCGCTTTGCTTGTGGGAACCCCAAGTCTCACAAAAGAAACGACTTTCACCAAGTCGCAAACTGCCCAGAGTTCCCGAAGTTTCCTCATTAGTTTCACCTGCTGCTTTGGATAAGCTGAAATTTCAGACAAAAGATGAACTATAATTGGAGAAGGATTATTAAGGAAAAGACAGAGAAACATTTTATCTAAGGTGCAACTAATGATTGTATGAATGGCACTTCTTCTAGATCCTGCAATGTCAAAGCCTTGGATGTATCAAGATAACAGAAGCAGAAAAGCAGGACTGAAAATGTGTCACTTTGCTCAGAGATTTCAGTAAATGGTCAAGTAGAAATCACAAGGGCTAGTGTCAAATACTTTCGCATCCCACCAAAAAGTCTAGCATATTCTGAACACTATCTTCAAGCAAAGTGATGATTAAATTGTTGAGGTTTTTTTTTGTTTTTGTTTTGGTAACTGTATGGCTTTCATTAGACCTAAATTCTTGATACATGTAAGTCTTTAATAACATAGAGCCAAAAGAAGTTCTGTGAGAAATGCAAGTTCACAAGCTACGCAATGGGTACTGTATCTCATAAAGGGAGAAAAAAAATAACCATCTATGTCTTGCAAGGACCAGGCTAATGAGCATGCAGGGAGAAAAATGAGGCATTGCAATCAATTGTGTGTGAAAATTATGCAATTACTGCAAAAAGGGAGGGGGAGGGAGGGAGGGAGGGAGGGAAGGAGGAAGGAAGGAAGGAAGGAAGGAAGGAAGGAAGGAAGGAAGGAAGG